CCCGGGGGTTAGGACAGATTGATCCAAAGGAACAGCCCTGAGGTTTATCTGAAAGAAACTCGTCTGTCCTTTAAAAAGGAAATACTGGGTTCCTTGAAATAAATTCTGCTTAAAGCACAGCAGCTGCCGCCCACTTTATGAGCAGTGTGACATGGGAAACAGGCGGGTTTACAGATGGCTTTTTGGAAAATAAATTGGTTGGGAAACTCAGGAAAAGATGCCAAGAACATTCTTACAATTTATCTGCTTAGATTTCCGTTGATTGTGCCTCTGCGGTTTCCACAGCCCTGAGCCTGGGACAGCCTTCAGCCCAAGGGTCCTGGCACCCTGGAGCAGGGGGAAGGGGGGCTGGGCTGAGGGGAATTTCAGGTCCTGAAATTTAGGAAAGTTGGCAACTAAAGCTGGAGTTTAGGGGGTTTGCTGTTGAGATGGACGAGTTGCAGCCTGTTAGATGGGGGAGGACACTAGGTGGAGCTCCGTGCTCTGCCGAAATGAGGGGGGTGAAGGGTGCAGAAGGGGCTGGAGCTGCCTTGCAGCAGTTTTGGGAAACAGCCCTCACCTAGAAGTCAAAATTGAAACATTCCTAGTGTACTTACATCAGTAAAGTGCCACCTGTGAGACTGAAGGATCCAACCTGCTCGAGCTGTAAAGTCTGGAAGACTTCAGAGAGCAAGAAAAAAATAATTCTTGCAAGACCCACTGCAGACCAACCATTGAGTATGCCCTTAGATAAAGTAGTGGAAATACAGTGATTTTTGTTTCTTAAGAAGGTGATTTTGTTTGGTCAGCATAAGCTCTGGATTTTGCTGACAGGAATCACAACAGATTATGGGGGTGTCCCAGACCGTGTCAATGTAAGGAAAATTTCACTGGGGAAACGGCCCGCTTCAAATTTTGCATCTTGAGCAACGCTAGTGTGGTCAAGTCAGTATTTCTCCTGCCAATAATAGTAACTCTAATCTAGAATCGCTTATTCTGCTTCCATGAAACAAAGTGAACTTCATTACCTTGAAATTCTGTAAATGGAAAGTAAAATTTCCTAGAAGTAGGTCTGGCTGGTAACGTTAAAAAATAACAGTAAGATGGGGCTTATCTTTTCTCAGAAAATATCCTTCACTGTCCCGAGATAGGAACAGGAGGCCAACTCCTTTACATTTTTTGAAAATAATCAAATCGGCACCTGCAGTCCCTTCTGAATATCAATCATTCCTGACACAAAAAATAAGTTAGAGAACTAGGACAAGTGAAATATTTATGACGAGATTTAGAAAGTTCACAAACAGCTGTCTTAATATTTAGTTTGGAATTCAAACTGTGCTCCAGTTTCATTAAAAAAAAAAAAAAAAAAAAAGCGAAGTAATTGAATTTAGCTTCTGCACAAAAAAAACCCCAGTTAGTAAAAATGACCTGCTCAAGAGATGGCTTCACATCTTGGAATAAATTTATCTACTTACCACCCCAGTCCCTCTTTGCTTCACTCTGCGAATTGTCCGCTTTGTTCAGCACGGTGTGATTTAAGAATGTGACTATTGGTGACGTGTGACAGTGTTGGGAAGAGGCACAAGTGAACCGCTGCAGGACAAAAACCCTTTAAATTGATCACCTTAAAACCTGTGATCAGTGAGACAAGAGTCACGTCTCTCTTGCAGGTCCGAAAGAGGAGATGGAATAACCCAACTGACAGCTCTGCCGACGTCCACAACCCGGCTGGAGACCTCTCCCGGCCGGAGTGGCTCCGAGCTGACCGCTGGCAGCGTCCCAGTGCCCGACACACACACAAGAAATCCAGACTCCAATGTTACCGCTGTATTCGCTGCACACCCTGTCCAGCCCTTCCAGGGGGTGAGTCTGTAAAACTGAACAGGGCAAAGAGTGGAGCTGGTTCTCAGAGCCTCACGCACTTCTATTTAAAACAGGGTTTAACTCCTCAATTTCTTTCTAATCCATCCTGTCTGTCCTGGCAGCCAGCGTTTCAGGGCGGCTTTGATCCGCACGCTTGAGACAATCGCCCACTGAACATCTGACAGTGCTGCTGTGTGTTCGCCTTCGTGGGCTGTGAACATCCCTGGGAATTCCTTTGTGGCATTACTGTACACCCACCATCGCCACACTTGCAAAACAACATCACTTTTGGTTATTTTCTAGGGAAAAAAAAAAATCTAAAAATAGTTCAAGCCTAGTCTGCATCCCTAGTCAAGGATGTGCGTTGTACAAAAGCGGCTGTATAAAGCCTCGCTTGCTTTCTGCCGACTTCCCATGCTTCCTTTGTCAATTAAAGAACTTCTCTGATTTTGTGTAAGACAGAACATTCCAACCCAGCTCCAGGAATTTACCTGAAGCAATTCTTGGCATGAGAGTGAAAACCCTCAGACATGGAGTTAATTTGGAAACGGACCGGTTGCCAAGTTTATAGTTAGATTTTTAAAATACTTGGAAATAAAAAGTAACTTTTTTATCTCAAACCATACATGTGTGACATTAGAAACATGAAAGATGAGTAAGATAAATACAATTTGATATTTCCTGTACTATCCATTGTGTATAAAACGACTACAAACCTGTTTCATGTAAATAAGAACAACCTCGGGTTCAGCCTGAGCTGTAGCTTGCATGTCCAAAGTTTTCTTCCAGTTTAGCATCAGTCATTGCCGAGGAGAAAAAGCTCAAACTCTCCAAGTAAGAAAAAACTCCACAAAATCTGAGTGTGCATCTCTTCTTCCAACGAACGACCTTGCTTTATTCGGTCTCTCCATACCCAGAGCTCTGGAAGAGGCTCGCTGCGTTCCTGGTGATCTGTATGCCTCCAGCAGCTGATCTCAGGCATACAAAAAGTGTCCAGACCTTTTTATTTTTCCTCACAAGGAGAGAAAGCAGGATTAATTACAACCTATAGACAAAATAACGGCTCATCGCTATTCCAAATGCAGTGTCCGAGGAGTCCCAGCTCCAGGTAGATACGGATTCCATCTCCCTTATCTCACCGGGAGGACGAGCGGTCCCAGTTATCTGTTCTGCACGTGGATATCCACGGGTATGAAGGTCACGGTAGGATGTGGAGCCATGCTGGTGCTGTTCTGCCCGAAAGCGGGCGGCATTGCTGGTTTGGTGGGTTTGGGTTCCAGCTCCCGCTTCACTCTCATGCGTCTGTAAAGGGAAAAGAGAAATCAGGGAAATCGTCACCAGGGCTGGCAGGCGGGGTGGGTGCTCCCGTGGTACGTATCGGGAAGGTTCCCGCGGAAGCAGGTCACATCGAACAGCTACTGAAAGGTCAGTACAAGCTGGGATTTCTTCCCAAAGATATTAAATTGCAAGTCAGTGCTTCTAGAGCACATAAATCCAACTCAATGCCCTGAAAAGTGAGAAATCCAGCTCCTGTCCGGCAGCTTTGATGCACACAGCAGACCTACAGGAATCCCTAAAAAGAGCTCCCATCAAACATCCTCCATCAAGAACCTCTTTCCACCTCCTGGCAAATTAATCTCACTGATGGTGAGATTCCAAACACTTCAGTCAAGCACTTTATAGTTTGGTTTCTCCTGGAAGTTTTCAGCAACCCAAAGCAATGGTCTGTTAGATGAGAGCACACCTAACCGTGAGTCTCGCCGTAGGGAAGTACAGGACTTGGCCACGTACCTGTTGTATGTTTTCAATATGAGCAGAACCACTGTAAAAATAATAATCACTCCTACGACGATGGCAGCAACTATTGCTCCAGAACCTAGCAGGGAAACAGAAAGGAAAAAAAAGAAAAACCTTATTTACAAAGTTGTAATTGTATTGTTTGAAGTTTGCTAAGTTCAAGGTCCATTTAAAAAGAAAAAAAAAAAGAAGCCACCACCCTACTACTTCTCTTACTTTGATAGAGACTCTGTTCTTGAGACACCGTGGTCACGTTTGCTGAGAACTGGGTGTTATTGATCGGCGGGGCAGCTGTCGTCATCTTGATTCGGCTACAGAAGAAAAGATGAAGAGTGAGTTCAGAAAATATTGACCAAAATTTGACAGCCCAGTTCAGGGATAATTAGGCAACAACCCATTGAGGATTCAGGGCTCACTAGGTGCAGGCTCACTGAACGGAGGTTTTCCGTATTTTCTTAGTGACGAAAATCCAGCCCTGCTGAAATCAGTGGAGATTCTGCTACAATCTAGGCTTCAGCAATTTGCCTTGGAATATACGCTGCTCAGTATTAACAGGATAAAATGAGATATAAACACAGTGAGGCATTGTTACCTGCACATTACTGCTGCTGCACAAGTGTTGGATAAATACATACTTACATGCTTTAGGATTTTAGATTATTATTTCAGGTTGAGACTCACATCACTGAGCAAATAAGTGCAAAGAGAAATATGTCTTTAAGGAAGGGGAAAAAAAAGTCAGCACAGAAAGGCTGAAAAAGTCCTTTATAAAAGAGAATTTAAAGTAGTTTCATGCATCTAACATGGAGAAGAAAAACCATTTGACCTCCTAACTCGGAGCTACAAAAGTTAGATGACAAACAACGGATATCCCAGGACAGAAAAAAAATATCGCCACATGAGTAGGATGGAAAGTTGAGGTGAGTTGGGAGCAGCACCTGGCTCGTGCCAGCGTCATCTCAGGTCTGTTATTGGAAGGGGACAAGCCTGCGCGCGGATAGCTGGAAATGTGCTGGCTCCTGCATTTCGGTAGGATAAAACTGTAGAGCTAGAAAGAGCTGCCCGTGTGTGTGTACTGATTTTAAAAGTGTTTTCCACATGTCCCTAGTAACCCTAGATGTTAAAAGGCTCCTTCAGCCTGCGAAGGGTGTGATCACCACTTCAAACAGACCTCTGAAACCCGCTCAGCTCTGGCTGCAGAGACCTAGTGCCCTCAACCTATCCAGCGAAAATTTAATTCTTCAACACCTGACATGGGAGTTGAGTTTTCCGTTTCAGTACACAGACCAGCCGGGACCCTGCCTTGCTCTCAGTCACACTCCATCGGGATATTGGGGGTCTGGGGTATGTTCTCAGCGGCTTTAATTTTACAGAGCACACGCTGTGCCATAGCCAGAGAATTATTAAGCAGATAGAAATCAGATAGCAATAAAAAGAAGTGCAGATGTGCAGCCTCCCTTCCCTTCGCCCTCACTGATGCTTTCCTAAAGGTTTCTGCAAAATAGCATCCATCAAATAAAACGTGTGTCGTGGCGGGTGGAGTACTGCGGGGCAGGGAGGACACGGCTCCGACTCCTCGATGGGCAGGGAGGACACAGCTCCAACTGCTCAACGGGCAGGGAGGACACGGATCCGACTGCTCAACGGGCAGGGGGTTGTTTCAGGGTGGGGAGTCTGGTAGCTTGAGTCAACACACGGCGTGTCCTTGGGAGGCTCCGCTCGCAGATACAGGAGGAACGGGAGAGATCAGGAGCTGTCAGGAAGGGAAACGGTCAGAGCCTGGGTGAAGGATAGGAGCTACAAGGTCGATTCATCAAATACTTCGATCCCCTTGAGTTAAGAAGGTTGGGGGTTGTTTCTTTAAAAAAAACCCCAAAAATAACTCAGTCTCGAGTCTGTAACTGGGTCATTCTCCCCTGACTGAATGATTCCTTTGTTCAGCCCAGGCCAAGTGAACTCAGCAACGTGATCGTCAGCCGCGGTTGTAGATCTTCCCACACTGACAGAAATATGGAGTGTTCAGAGTTTGCCCAGCCTTGTGGAGCACAGCGACAGGAGTCACACACGCCTTGGAGGGACCCGGGAGAGGTCACAGCACTGTCCCCATCGGCTGCATGGAATCACAGAGTCACAGAATGGCCTTAAAGCCCACCCAGTCCCACCCCTGCCATGGGCAGGGACACCTCCCACCAGCCCAGGTTGCCCAAAGCCTCATCCAGCCTGGCCTTGAACCCCTCCAGGGATGGGGCATCCACAGCTTCTTTGGGCAACCTGGGCCACTGCCTCACCCCCCGCACAGGAAAAAACTTTCTCCTCATATCCAATCTAAATCTCTTTCAGCTTAAAGCCATTTCCCCTCATCCTTCCCCACCATCCGTTCGGTACCATGCTGATGACGGTTGTCCCACGGACAAGCAGAGGTTGAAGGGACTCTCCGTCACGCTGCAGGCTGGGGAAAGCTGGGCGCGTATTTTGACACAGACATAATGCAGAAAAAGCCACCTCCAACGTTGACCTTGGTGCTCCTGCCCAGGAGAGCACAAATCCCAGATTTATGGAAGGGTAAATGGCTACTAAAATAAAAATCCCAAATACAGAAGGCTGAACATTTCGATATGAAGCCATGTAATATTCATACTCACTAACTTCCACCTGGTTCAAACCACCTCGGTGACGGTGAGCTATTTGTGCATGAGTCACCTACAACCAAAGAATTTTTATTGTTGTCGGTGAAACCACTTGTTTACAAATGAATTTATCCGATGGCAATCTAAGATGCAGTTTGAAAAATGCAACAAATCTTTTCTTTTTTCTGCATTGTGTAGCGAGTAAAGAGGTCCAAGGTCTGGGTTTCAGTCCAGGGTGGGAGGTATGAGTCCTTCTCCCGTTTCACCTCCAGCGAGTCCCAGCTCCATTCCTCCCCCGTGAATCAGCCGGGTTATGCCTGACCCAGCCTCTGCTGCGAGACTCGAGGACCCAACAACACCCAGCAAAATCCATGGGAACCTGCTGGTTTTGGGGTACTGCAGGCTGGATCCTCCTCCATTTGGAAAAAAAAATAATATTTGGAAAATCAAGAAAGCTCAATAAAAGCTCTATAGCAGGGGAGAAGAAATGGACTTTGATCCCGCAATCACAGGACATTCTTTCTGTATGACACACGCTGGCACTTCCCCCTGTGCACACACACCTGCCCGGGGCTCTGAGAGCCACCAGGTCACCCGCAGCTCTCCAGCCTGGGGCGGGGGCACACACTGCGGGTTAGTTTTTGCATCCCCATATTACAGAGCTGGAAATGTTTCCATAAAGTGAAGCTTTGGGCACGTTTCCATGGAAAACACCTTTGCAGATACAGCGGACGGGTTGTTTTGGCGAGTGGCAGCAATGCCGCCATTTATCCCGAATTCCTGCCCCCCCACCCCGCCCTGTCCGATCGCGCGCTGAACGGCCGAATTTCCAGCGAGACGGGGATCGGAGATCATCCGTCAAGCGGCTCCCGCAGCACCTGGTGATTCCAGGAGAGGGGGGACGGGGAACAGTGGGGTTTGTTTGAGTTTTTCCAGGAGAGCTGGACGTCGAGAGCCAGCGCCCTGCCAGGGGAGGCAGGTGCGGGTTAGGCAGACACACAAATCCAGTGCTTCGCCACCCAGAAAAAAGGTGGTCTGTCCATCCAGCTGTGCTGCAGGCTTTGAACTAGGCACAAAGTCCGCTGTTGTTTCTCCAGCACTAATATAATTTTCACCCAGAAGTTCCATCAGAGAATTAATTCATCCTTTCAGCTGCACAGATAAATTTTTCTCTTATTTTATGGCCAAGCATGGGCTGAAAAACAGGTGATTTTTCTCTCCTTACTTACGCAGGTCTAAGGAAGAGCACTGGCTGCCAGCTCTGCTGCTCTGGGACTCGATTCCTTCCCAAAAATATCCACAGGGCCGGGTCTTAAATCCCAAAGCCCACTAAGGAACGGGAGAACAAAACCCAGCACTGGTTTGCTTGATTTCTGGTTTGCTGGCTCAGCATACTGGCCATGGGAGCTGCTAAGAAAGGGAATATTCTCCAGAATATTTAGAAATAGACTGGAATTTGGTCCTCTGGCAGATGTAAGCGACCAGATCCGAAGCAGTGCCGTGTGAGACCCACCTTATGCGACCAAAAAGCCCCTGAGAGGTGAATTTACATGAACACCACCAGGGTGCTGGGGCTGTGTGAGCAGAGACAAATTATCCAAGGGGAAAAACATTAATTCCAATAAACAAACATCGGGATGTCATCGAAGAAGCCCAGAAGCAGCCCCATCCTATTACATAAGAGGGGAAGGACCTTCCACCACGTGAGCGGTAGACATCCTGTCAATTCAATCCCAGATTCATTCTCTCTTGCAAAAAATCCACACCCCAGATTTACCATGAGTCTTTCTCCTGCGAAAGACAAGGCTGAGGAGTCACCTGCCATCCGTATCCACCCTCCCACCGCCCCAAAGGAGCTTTGTGCGGAGGCACGGCTGCCTGAGGCTCAGCTCAACCCTCTGGGCTCAGCTCAGCTCGCACAACCCAAGCAGCAAACCCTCTCTCATCCCAGGGAGAGGTTAATCCTTCTAAGTAAGTCGGGAGTTTTTCTCCCTTCCTAAAAGTAACGAGGCTCAAGAGCGACAACCTTGCGAGCGGTCCGGAGGTAGCGGATGGATGTCCCAGCTCTGCTCCTGCCTCCACGCAAGCAGCCGGACCATCCGTGTCGTTGCAACGAGATTGACCGTGTCTGACCGCAGCGAACACCGAGAGGTTCAAACCTGCCCGGTTCTTTGCTCCCTGTTTTTTTCTAGCAGTGGTGGAAGCATCTGAGCATTCACAGCACAGCAGGGAAAGGAAACAGGGTTGTATCTCAGAGTCACAGAGTCAGAACCACGCGTCTTCCACTCAGCCAGCCTCATGGCAGCGCAGCCGGGGCTCCCACGCTCCCCTTCCAGCAGCATCACGAGCCCCCTCCCAGCAGCATCAGGAGCCACGAGAACCGGGAACGTCGCCGGGAGTTTGGGGCAAACCGTCAGTTCAGAAAGGAACAAAGACACGGTGTGCTTCAGCGAGACCCGACGTGCCTGGAGTCACCTTGCGAGGCTCTAAGGGGGAGGAAGGAGGAAAAAAAAACCCAAGTTCCAATTGGCCAGCAGGAGCGAAGGCATCAACGTGGCCTCGGGCAAAGAGCCCCGCTCTGCGCGGAGCCTGTGCATCGTACGTGTCCTGACGGCAGCCCAGCACCTTTATATAAGCATTTGTCTCAGGTTCTGGCAGGAGCTCGCCAGGTTTA